AACACATAACCTTTACCATCACAGCCAGCGTTACTCTTGCCTTGTACCTTGGCATTTGTTACTGCCAGATCTATGTCATTAATACACAAAATAATTGGATAGTAGATTTTTTACTGTTGTTGTAAATGTGAAATGTCGGATAACGAGATAGTAAGTGAGGAGTAGGTATAACAGGCTTAGCACCTAAATGGTGCTCAGTAAATTATTGTTATTAATACTGCCTCCCTTTGTATGCTAGCTACATAGCCAAACAGCCCTGTTAAGTCTAAGTATCCCACCCCCGAGGAAATTGGCCAGCCATGTGAAAGCACAACTGAAAGAGTATGCAATGGGGTTCTTTGTTTAAAAGCAACAGAATCTGACTCTGACTTAAACCAAAAGATAAGTTATTACAAATATATAGTAGAACTTAAAATCAGTGTAAAGACTTGGGTGTCTGATTAGGCAGCTTCAGGTCTTTGGTGCAACCACTAGAACTAATAAAGTCCTACTTCTTTTTTTTCATTCTTTACACCCCTCTATTTAATAATTAAAGTCTAAGGAGAGAGACTTTAATTGATTGAGTTTTGGCCATGCCCCTACCTCGAGCAGGCTGTGTTGCACCTTGACTTTACTATGTATCAAGACTGCATATCTTGAGAAGTTATTAGCCAAAAGGTGCTGCTAGGATGAGATGGGCTAAAAATGGCAGAAGTCCACTACAAAGGGATTTTCAAGTATTTATCACTTACTGGTTAAAGGATGTCCAGGCAAGATCAAGTGAATACAGAGAGAAATGGGCTTTATACTGACATTATCAAATCGTGTTGATTTAATACCCGTAAGAGCTTACAAGAAGGAGCCCCGGTGGCTTAGTGGTTAAGCATTCAGCTGGTAACCAAAAGGTCGGTAGTTTGAACCCGCCAGCTGCTCCAGGGGAGAAAGATGTAGCAGTCTGCTTCTGCAAAGATTACAGCCTTGGAAATCCTATGGTGCAGTTCTACTCTGACCTGTAGGTCACTATGAGTTGGAATTGACTTGATAGCAATGGGTTTGGAAGAGCTTATAGTACCACCTACTGTTTTAAAATAAAATTTCTTCCTGTTAAAAATCATGGCTTTTTTTTTTTTTTTTTTTTAAATAGTGTTTGGGACAAACAAGTGTGATAAACCAAGCACCTGTAATTCTCTGTAGTGATTTAGGGAAATAAAAAAGTTGACCGCACAGTGATGATTCCGTGTTATTTATAGTGTCTATAACCATAGCTCAGAACTGTTGACGTTTGAATTGCTGCTGTAACATCTAGGAAGTAAGTGAAATAGTAATAATAGTAATGATAATTTATTGATTACTTTTCGTGTGCTGTGTACTTGTCTGAGTACCTGCTGTGGATTATCTCAATTTAATACCACCACAACTCCCCAAGACAGGTATTGTTATATGCAGTTGACAAATGAAGAAACTAAGGCATAGAGAAACAACTTGGCCAAGATCATATAACTAGTAAGTGATAGAGCTGGTATTTGAGCCCAGATAGATTGACTTACTGGAGAGAGTGAATGCCTGGGATTCTCTCGAGCAAAGAACTCTCCCCTAATGATCGGGGTGGTTGGTATCTCTGGCAGTGCTTTAACACGTGTCTGTCAGCAAGGCACACTTGCAGTGTGATTTCCTTTCCTTTTTACATCTGATTAATAACACACTTTTGTCTTTAAGAATGTGTTTTAATCATACAAGGATATGTATAATCATAGCCCACACTTTCATACCATTCTGTACGAGGCACTATTCTAGGTACTTTATATACATTAATTCATTGTCTATTGTCAAAACTATTTTTAATCCCTATTTTACAGATGAGGAAATAGTTAAATATCCAATATCACACAACTAAGAAGTAACAGAGGCAGGATTTGAACTCAGATAGTTTGGCTGCAGAGGCTGTGCACTATACTATACCCAAAACCAAACCCACTGCCTTCAAGTCGATTCTAACTCATAGCAATCCCGTAGGGTTTCTGAGGCTGTAAATTTCTGTGGAAGCAGACTGCCACATCTTTCTCCCACGGAGCTGCTAGTGGTTTCAAACCACCGACCTTTCAGTTGTTAGTAGATCACTTTAACCACTGTGCCACCAGGGCTCCTTGTGCACTATGCTATTGTGCTTATAAAAAGTCTTTAAAAAATACAAGTGGTATTTGGATATAACAGAAATCATGGCGGCATCCATGGTGGTGCTCAGATCTGGTAAAAAATGTGAAGATGGAATGCAAATGACTGAAGTTTGTGAAAGACTGATTTAAGTTGTTTCAAATTTTTACTTTTAAATAATGCTACATTAAATAGCTTTATTTATGCCTTCTTGGGTTCACTTGGTGGAATTTCTCTAGGGTTGATACAAGGATGTGAATTTACTAGGTTACTGCTCTCCAGAGTGGCTATACCAACATATTTTTATCCTTTTTTTTTTTTTTCTTTTTGTCACTTTAAGGAAGTTTTACGTAGCTTTTTTCCTACGTATTTCCAGAATCTGTAGATCACTGAGGACTAATTGTAATAATGCAAGTTAAGTAAAATTCAATTGCTTATTACTCATAGAGAGCTAGAATCTACATTCTTACCAAAGAAATATACTCGACTCATCCCACTATTGCAGTAGCTAGTATATTGTCAAATAATTGGTTACTTCTACCGGTACACATTTCTGAACCAGAAAGAATGCGGAGTTATGGGTGTTAGTGCCATCTGGTGGTTAGACTACAGGGCCTTCTTTCGAGGTTTTCAATCTTTAAAGTGCACAAAAATGAGGAACTTGTTAAAAATGACATTCTCGGCCCCACCTGCAGAAGGAAGGGGTGTTCGTGTGGGTTGTCCAGGTGCTTGCATATTTAAAAAGCAGCTCGTGTGGCTGTTGTTTCTGACGTGTTTGATCCAAACCCTGCATATAAAAAGAACATGGCTTAGCAATGGGCTCAGCTCGCTCTCCTTAATCCTCTTCTCCAGCAGCTGCTGTCGTACCTCTTGGATTATGTGGGAGCTGTGAGGATTTTCTGAGACTATTTTGGGTTGAAGAGGATCCAGCTGAGTTTACACACGGAAGGGATGGGAACAGGCTGATGTGCGTGAGAGAGAGAAGAGAGAACCCGAACCGTCATCTCAGTTTTGCTACGTTTATTTGCGTTTCCTCCTTACTGCTTTCTTTTGACCGGGGTGCTACTTTTGACTCTGTGGTCTCCCCATACTTTTGTTTTTTCTCCCCGTCTTCATATTCCTCAGCCTGGTGTACAGGGTCTCCTCCATAATCAGACTCCAGCCCATTTTCCAGGCCCCTTCCATGTGAATCCCTTGCACATATATTTATTTTTCGGTATCCCACAGAATCATGCCTTTTCTCATACCGTGACTTCTCCTGAAATTCTTACTCGCCATTCTTTACCAAAAACTTTTAAGCTTTTTATAAATCTTTTCAAATTCCAAAGCCCCAAATCCTCAAAGACACCCCCCTGGAGCATTTAACATCCCTCCCCGTCTAATTTCCCACCATACATCACACTTAGCCTGTATCCTCCTCCTGGCACCTCATCACATAAAGTTTCTTATTATTAAATCAATATGCCATCCATCCATCTATCATTTTACTTATTCATTCATTCCTTATGTTGTTTCCCTTGCTTGGAGTATAAAGTCTACTAGTTCTTCAAGTGCCACCCACTCAACTAAGCCAAATATAGATTAGTCTTGGCTTCACTCATTGATTTTTACCGAATAAATATACTCAACTCACCCCACTATTACAGTAGCTAGTATATTGTTGAATAATTGGTTAATTCTCTGTGCTAACACTGAGTCCCGAACTGCCCACTTTAACCTTTGGTTACACATTCCCATGTGTTCATGAACTCTGTGTTAGGCTTCTGCTCTTCAGTAAATTGAAAGCTACATGAGGACAGAGACTGTTTTGCATAATTCTTTGATATTTCCCAAAGTCTTTTGCACATTCCCAAATGCATAATATGGCTTAGTTGAAGTTGTTTCTGTTGTGTAATGAGTTGTCCTTATTTTGCCTTACTCTGAAAGAGAATGAAAATTATTAGCATTTTATTAAGCATCTACGATATTACCAGATGGAGTCCCTAAGTGGTTACCGTGCTCACTGCTAACCAAAAAGTCGGTTCTTCTGAGGCCCAGAGGCACCTCAGAAGAAAGTCTTGGCAATCTACTTCCAAAAAATCAGCCATTGAAAACCCTAAGGGGCACAGTTCTACTCTGACGCACATGGGATCACTGTGCGTTGGAATTAACTCAACAGCAACTGTTCTTTTTTTGTTTTGTTAGATACCGTGCTTGAAATTTTACATATATTACCTTATTTAAAACTTAAAAAGCCTGATGAGTAGAATGTTATACATTTTACAGATTAGAACATTTGGAGTGAGAAATGCTTAATAAATTGCATAGCTACAACTAACAGGTCATAATTTGTACCCAGGCCCATCTGGCTCCAAAGCTTATATACCCTTTACGCCATCACACTGTCTCCATTTTAGTTTTAGATCTTCCTTTATGGTGTTTTATAATAATGCTTTGCATTCTTGCTTTCTTTCCTTCATAAAGAGTCTGCTCTCAGGAATGTAGAGTGGTACTTTACCCTGGAATGATATTCAACCCTGCTGTCTATACCCTGCTTCATACCTAAGTGGAAATACCCTTCTTCATACGCGGTCTGCTTTATATTTAACTAAAGCAGTATGCCCACCTGCCTTTTTTCAGGCCTGGATTTTTATGGATTAAAACATTTCTTAATGTGGAATAACTCTGAGCCCCAGAGCACGGAGGTGCTATTTAGAACACTTGTAGACAAATCTTGGCTGCATGTCGAGCCTCCTTCTACAGGCTCACTTTGGGAATGTGAATGATCTCATTGAGCATGGTCACTTTTGGAGCTCTTTGTATAACTAGCCGCAGAGAACTTCCAGACTGAATACAAACCTGGATTTGTTCGGTTGTGTCTTCTGTCACAGGGATTCAGAGCAAGCCCTCGGCATATTAGAAGACGAGCTGCAGCGGCTGCAGCTGCCCGCCTGGAAGAAGCAAAGCCCCTTGTGGAAGTTCACCACCAGAGTGAGCAAGAAAATGCAGTGAGGAAACGAAGAATCAAGAGAAGTAGCCGAGTGCAGCCAGAATTTTATCACTCTGTTCAAGGTGCTTCAACCAGAAGGCCTGTAAGTAGAGATGGTCTTTTATAAAGATATTAAATACATTGTAAAATAGTGTGGTCATGTGCTTAATTTAAAAAAATTATCAGATGAGTTTTAAACTATCAGGTTGTTTCTTATCCTGTTTTTATCCCCAATAAGCGGCAGTTTACTCACAAGGAAATGTGGTTTCACAGCAGGCGCTGGAGCAGATAGTTCCTGAAGAGGCCGGAGTTAGTCACTGTCAGGCAGACTGTTATAAAAGCTGGTGAATTCCGAGCAAGAATGGAGCTGGGATCTTGAAGGAGGATAGGAGCCGTGGGGTCAGTAAGCTGAGATGTGGTAAAGATAAGATCAGAGTTGAAGAGGGGCAACCAAAAAACCAGGATTAGGATAGGAGATGCAGTGGAGGGCAAGCTGGGGCTGGAGTCAGAGGTGGTAGCTGGATCTCTCCAGGAGGCTCTTGGACGGTAGGGTCTGGGCTTCTTTTGGCATTCAGCCCAGGGTGGCTCTTTAAGCATCTCGGCCTTCTCAGCTGGGGCCTTTAGTTATAGGTAGCTGTGTTTCCTTTTCTAACCAAGTGCCCTGTGTCTCTGTTGGCTGTAGCACTGCCTTTCCTAAGAAATTTGGGGCCTAACTGGGTCTCCACCTCCTTCTTGCTTCCTGAGCACATTGTTTTATGTCCTCTGATTTTTTTTCTTGATTGTTGTTCTGACGCATGGACTTTTTACCAAGGCACGGTGACCTGCATAGAATAAATGCTCAGTATATGGTAGCTCCTTCCTTTCCTCTACTTTTCCTCAACTGTAAGCTCTTTGAGGGCCCTATCATCTGGTCTAGAACATCTCTTAGCGTCTAGCCACTTAATGCAATTTGTCAAATGAGTGATTGATATTTATACATGAAAATGTAGCTTATGAAATGAGTGGTATAGGTAGTCAGCACTATAGATATTCAGAGGATGGAAAGGTATTATCTTTCTTCAAATAGCGTGGTCAGGGGATACCACTTTCTGGAAGAGTGGGACTGACTTGGGCTTAAAAATATGGGTAGGAATTCGACCACTAACCTAGAGCTTGGAGGTTCAAACCCACCCAGCGGCACTGCAGAAGAAAGGCCTGGTGATCGGCTTCTGTAAAGATTATAGCCAAGAAAACCCTATGAAACAGTTCTACTCTGTAACACATGGGGTCACTGTAACTTGGAATCAGTTTGATGGCAGTGGTTTAGGTTTCGGTTTGAATAGTCAACAGATGCTAGTTCTGGGAGGTGGAATGAGCAAAAGTACTGAGAACTGTTTGGCTAGATGTAGAGGATTGTAAAAGAAAAGTACAAGATAAAACTGGAAGAAGAGACTGGGGCCAGAATACGTTTCAGATGACCACTGGGTTTATACTTTATTTTACATGCTTCATGGAGACACTGGAACAAGTGAGGAGCATGACCAAAGCACTATTTTAGGTAGATTAAACTGGCAGCCACATGCAGGATGAATTGGAGTGGAGGAAGTCAGGAGCCAGTTAAGTAGGCACTGCAGTAGTCCAGGAGCCCTGATGGCACGGTGGTTAAGAGCTTGGCTGCTAACCAAACGGTTGGCAGTTTGAATCCACCAGCTGCTTCTTGGAAACCCTATGGGGCAGTTCTCGTCTGTCCTGTAAGATTGCTATGAGTCGGAATCGACTTCATGGCAACAGTTTGGGTTTTGGCAGTAGCCTAGGTATGATGTGATCAGGGCTTGAACTTGGGCGTAACCCATGGAGCTCTGCTGGCATTGATAATCACTGCTGATGGGAATTAAGGAGAATTACACTCTGAGAATGGCTTCACCCTCTGCTGCTGGAGGATGGATTGAAGGGAGAGAGATTAGAGGGTGGGAAATAGCAGTGGAGGCTATTGCTTAGTAAAAAACAACATTCTGAGGCGTATTCTCTGGGGCATCTGGAGCTCCCTTCCTCCATCTCCTCTCAGTGTTCTTGGAGACTGGAGCTTGGGAGAGTTGGTAGTGAGGAGCCTGTTGGCTCTTTGTCTCACATTAGTCCCGTGCAGCTTTCTGAAACATTATGGCCTTTGCTAACATTTCCCTGTTTTTATGCCATATGTCAGCTTGAGCTGAGGCCACTCCTGAATTTGGTTAGGTTCAGTCAATAGGCCTGCTCGAGTGACTCTTCAACATATGTCTGAAGCCTGGGCCTTTTCTAACATACACATTTGGAGAAAATCATTGTTACCACACATTGCCATGAAAACAAATCTGATTGTAGCTTGGTCGTGGTGATTCAGAATTATTTGAATGACTTTATTTGAAGCACTCCAGACATTTCTAGTGGCAATCTGAATAAGAAACAGGCCCATGAGTGAGAAAGACTTAAATAGGATGTAGCTGAGAAGGAAAGTGACTCAGAAAATGTGACAGTGCAGTTTCAGCCAGCCTTCATTAGGACCATTCTCTTGAGAAAGTGGGCTGCATGTCACATGGAGTGCATTATACTTTAGCGTCTTTGAATGCTCTGATTTATTTACTTATCGTTGTATATTCATAATTTATACTCAAATGTACCTATAAGAAAGGAGCGCTGGTGGCACAGTGGTTAAGTGCTTGGCTGCTAACTAAAAGGTCGGTGGTTTGAACCCACCAGCTGCTCCATGGGCTTCCATAAAGATTTATAGCCTTGGAAACCGAATGGGGGCAGTTCAGCTCTGTCCTATAGGGTCGTACTGAGTTGGAATCGATTTGATGGCAATGGGTTTGGTTGTTTTTGGTGTGGTACCTTTAAGAATTTGTAATGGAGATCACTTAAGTAAACATGATATATGTGTTTTTTCATTTCATTCCTTTGGAAAATTAGATGTTTTTAAGGATGAGTAGACTAAAAATTGATCCTGATTTTCTCTCAGCAAGTATGTCTTGTGGTTTATACTGTATATTAAAACATGTCACTGGGCATTTATGAATTTTCTACAACATGGTGCAGAAAAGATAATTAGATCTATATCTCCTTCTGTTCTTCAGTATTTTGATATTAAAACGCTTTTTTGTGAGTGTCTGATTTTTGAGTTTTTAAACATCATCATCATCATAACAAGAACTCTTGCATGCTTACTACATTCTGGGCCTTGTTCTGTGTAGTCTTCCCTGTGTTTTCTCATTTAATCTTCCCAGCAATTCTCTGGGGTAGGTGCTCACTTTCCAGAGAGGAAACTTGTTAAGGTCACTTGGTGATGGAGCTAAGATTTACACCCAGGCAATCTGACTTCGAGTGGTTTGAGTAAAGAATGGAGAATTCCAAACGATCACATTTCTAGTGCTAGATATTTATCCTAATCAACCCTCCTAAAGTATTTTAATCCCTTTAGTCTCAGTTTTCCTTCCTGCTTAGATAGTAGATACAGATGAGATCTTTGTGATTTCAACCATCACATCAATCAAAAGCTGTGTTAAAATGGTATTGAAAACCAGACTCATTTGTGCCGTGCAGTTTACAAAACCTTCCCTTTCTGTGGCAGAGTGCATTGGAAGTAACAGGTGTCTTTCTGGCCTACTCAGGCTAACCTGTTGATGAGTAGCAATCCCCAGGCCCAAGAAATATCTATGTGCCTGGGGTTGGAGGTGGGGTAACCAAACCAAAACCCACTGCCGTCGAGTCGATTCCGACTCACAGAGACCCTATAGGACAGAGTAGAACCGCCCCCATAGGTTTTCCAAAGCTATAATCTTTATGGAAGCGGACTGCCACATCTTTCTCCTGCAGAGTGGCTGGTGGATATGAATCGCTGATCTTTCAGTTAGCAGCCGAGTGCTTTTACCACTGTGCGACCAGAGCCCTTTAGAGGTCAGGTAGAGGGAAATAAAAGTGTTTTAGAACACTTGAAAATAATCGGGCATACTGGCTCTATTCCTATTACGTTTAATTGATTCCAGTTTTTTGCACGCTCCAGCAGCATTGCTTACGTTTGCTTGGTGACTTAGATTCTTGGAAACTTTCTTACTGAGAGTATCTGATTAAAAAATGCTGTTGCTCCCAGGTCATTGCCCAAGCTACAGCTTGCTCCCCCTGCTGGCAAAACTTTGACCCGTGTTCTTCTGTCTTCTCGCTTCTGGAAAACCCGTGCCAAACCCGTTGCCATCGAGTTGATTCCTATGCATAGTGACCCTATAAGACAGAGTAGAACTGCCCCACAGGGTTTCCAAGGGGCGGCTGGTGGATTTGAATTGCCAGGCTTTTGGTCAGCAGCCAAGTTCTTAACCACTGCACCACCAGGGCTCCGACTGTCCCACAATTAACATTGATAATCACTGCTGTTGGGAATTGATTACTGAGCCTGACAGCTTTGACTTAGAAGTTGGAAGACAGACAGGCTTAGCACGAATGATTGGTGGTCCTCTTTTCTGAAACACTGAGAAGAAGCAGGTTTGGGCTGAGGGGCAGAAATCAACATTTCTGATTTGGATATGTTAAGTTTGAAATATCTATTAGATTTCGTAGATTTCATGGAAGGCATGAGTCTGGATTTGGGGATCATTAGCACATACTGTTGGTGGTGTTGTGTGCTGTCCAGTTGATTCTGACTCATAGCAACCCCATATGACAGAGTAAAACTGCCCCATAGGGTTTTTTAGGCTGTAATCTTGATGGATTACCCATAAACCCCAACCCTGTTGCTGTTGAGTTGATTCCAACTCACAGCAACTTATAGGACAGAGTAGAACTGCCCCCATAGGGGTTCCAAGGCTGTAATTTTTATGAAAGCAGACTGCCACATCTTTCTCCCGTGAAGCTTGGTGGGTTCAAACCCCCGACCTTTTTGTAGCAGGTGAGCACTTAATCATTGCACCACTAAGGTTCCTTCTTTACAGATTACAGCCTAGAAAACCCTATGGGACAGTTCTACTCTGTTGTATAGGGTCGCTGCGAGTTGGATTTGACTCCATGGCAACAAGTTTGGTTTTGGTTTAATCTATTTTTCCTGAAGGATTTTTTTTTTTATTTTGTTTTAGGTGAAAGTTTACAGAACAAATTAGTTTCTCA